GGTTAAGACTTTCCAGTGCAGGGTGTGCGGGTTCGATCCCTGGCCGGGGGGTTAAGATCCCACATGCCTCGTGGCCAAAAAACCAAAACATAAAACAGAAGCAATATTGTAACAAATTCAATAAGGACTTTAAAAATAGTCCACATCAAAAAAATCTTAAAAAACAAACAAACACAAAAACAGCTGAATGATGACCTGAGAGAGAGATGGTGCATGGGATCTGGAATCTCAACGAGGGTTTCCTAGGTTGAGTCATCACTTAATGGATAGATGGAACGGACACCACTGGAGAAGTCCAGCTTTGCCAGGACGGAGAGCCTCAGGCTGCCCTGGAGGGCAGGGGCGGGCAGTTCTGCTCACCTGTGGGTCCCGTGCTGGGGCAGGAGGGCTGCAGCCGGCTCACCGCTGTGGCAGTGCCTGGTGGGGTCTCTGGTGAGGCAAGCTGAATCCCACATCCCTGCTAGCTCCCCCTTCTCTTGCATTTCTCTTGTTTGTTTGCTAATCCGTCTCTCTCGTGGTGTGTAGAATGAGAGGCTGGTTATTCCTATCACACGCCATCGATTTCTGTGGGCTCCCCCCTCTCCAGTCGCAGTAATTTCGCCATCCCCAGATGAGGGTGAGGAGTGTTTGAGATGCATAACTGTGTCTCCTTTCAGTGCCTAGTACAAGATGGAGAATGAGGCCTGGCACCTTTCTGCTCAGTAAATTTATAATTACAGGCTTCCTCGTCTCGCCTCTTGCAAAGCAGAGAGCTGTTGACTGGCTTGTGGGTCCGTGAGTGTGTACGGTAAGGCAGGGTGTGGCAGGCACACTTTCCCGGGGCTCAGCAGGTTCCAGTACAAGGACGGCTGTAAGTTCCCTCCAGAGGGTCGGGGGCTGAGGCCTGACCCGCACCTGCCTGTCTGGAGTGAGGATGACCAGCCCTGCTGGAGTCTGGTTGTTGGCAGTGGTGTTCTGAGAGCTGTGTTAGGCAGCAGAGAATATGGCACCCAAAGAGCGGGCTCCTCCCGACAAAGGCCAGGGAGCAGGTGCTGAAGCGGGTTCAGGTAAAGTCAGGGGATATGGGAAGAGCCCTGGATTAGGAGTCCAGGGACCTGAGCTTAATCCCACCCCCACCATGAACTCACTCTGCCACCTCCTGCAAGTCCTTTAACTTCTGTGGATCACAGCTTCCTCGTCACTAAAATCAGCGACTGGGAATCATCAAACTGGACCATCTCTTTCAGCTCAAAAACTTCTAGATTCTTCTCTGATATTTAGATTTGCACAGGCAATTCATGATGAACCAGCCCGACCTCCTGACCACTCTTCACTCTAATGGAGATGGTGCCATCGGGCATTTTTTTGTTTGTTTTTGTTTTTGCGGTACGCGGGCCTCTCACTGCTGTGGCCTCTCCCGTTGCGGAGCACAGGCTCCAGACGCACAGGCTCAGTGGCCATGGCTCACGGGCCTAGCCGCTCCGCGGCATGTGGGATCCTCCCAGGCCGGGGCATGAACCCGCGTCCCCTGCATCAGCAGGCGGACCCTCAACCACTGCGCCACCAGGGAAGCCCCATCGGGCATTTTTTGATCCTAATCCTTTCATCTTCTTTCACTCTTGTCAACACCAACAACTCTCACTTAAGAAGCACTTACTTTGGGCCAGGAGAAGCCCTGTGCCAGGCACTTTCCAGCCCTTTATGCTTTCAGAGGGAAATAGTTGTGCCCGTTGTGAAGGGCATGACCTGTGAGGTTATGCCCTGGGAGTCCCCAGGGGCTTTGCTGTCCTCCTGTAGAGCTGGTATTGCTGGGTGATGTCCTGGGATTTCTGTGTGTGGGAACTTACATGGGTTAAACTGGACTTCTGAGGGCTCTGGAATTGTGCTTTCCTAGAAATAGGACGGGCTTTGCAATGTACAAAGCTGGGTTTCAACCCCAGCTCTGCCACTTATGAGCCATATGCTCTTGCAGAGCTAGTTTCCTCACCTGAAAAGCAGGTCAGACACTCCTGACCCCAGCAAACGGTTGTCTGAGAAGTGAGGTAATGGGTGTGCCAGCATTTGCCTTGGGGCCCGGGGTCCCATGAATGATGCATAGGTGCTGATGCTTCTCCTCGCCTCCAGCCCCTCTTCCTGCCAGTCAGGAAAGAGTTCTTGAGTCTCCCCTCCATGTCAGGTGTGGGTCTAGCACTGTGGACACACTAGCAGGCAAGGCAGCCCTCCCCCCGACCCCCACGGAGCTCACAGGCCTCAGCTCCAAACTCAGCTCTTTAGGCAAAGGCTAAATCGACAGGAGCGCGGAGGCTCCTCCCTGGGAGCGGGGACTGAGCTCTTTTCCTTTAAGTTTCTCCCCTCGGCACTGTGCATTTTAGTCTTAACCTCCCAGGGGCACCCTGACGAGGTCCTGGCTCCCTCTCCAGCCCTATCTCCTCCTGCTTTCCAGACAGACTCTTCCTGGCGTGCACCCTGGTTGAAATGCCCTTGCTGTGGCTCCATGGACCCCTGCCCAAGGAGGCCCTTCCTTTCCAGCTCTGCGGGTCCTCTCGAAGTTCACGGCTCAGCCCAAGTGCCTTCACCTCTCCAAGGCCTCCCACAGCCTTCTCCTTGCTTCCTAGCCCGGGGTTAGAGGTCAGCTGTCCTCACCTGAGCTCTCGAAGTCCGTCATGTAACGTTTCACCGTCTGAGTAATTGGGTTCTGGCGGTGTCTGCCCCCCTGACTCTGGGTTTTTCAGGGGCCTGGTCCAGCCTCGGCCATCCTTGAATCCATGGTGTCTTGTTCATTTGGAATGTGCCCTAAGCCTACGTTTGCCACGTGGGGGAAGAGATGAAGGCCCTCCGCTCACAAGACTGCTGTTGGTCCGTGGGTGTGCCAGTTTCCCTCCTCTGATGTTTTCTTGAGAACGTTTGTGGTTTTCTTTGGGAATGAAAACGTCAGTGTCATTGTTAACTGACAATGTCAAGTGTTTGTTTTGCTTTCCTTCTTTCTTCTCTTGGTTTCCATCTAACTTTGTACTCTCTCTGCTTGTGGGAGGGTCAGATAGGTTTCTTTGGCTCAGCCATCTACCTCTTCCCATCACCTTGTTTCTGAGTTGTTTGGGAGGGGGAAATGAGAGAAATTCCACAGAGCTGAGATGTCTCTGAATAAGATGTAGGCCATTCCTGCCCAGATTTGTCCCAAACTGGAAGAAATATGAAGCCATCCTCTGGAAACACACGCAGAAAAGCATCTTGAATAGAAATGAGTGAGACCATTAGGATGGAAAGCTGTTTTGTTCCACGGGGAGTTATTTATTTATTTACTTGACCACTTTTCTTAAAGCATTTGTTCTCTGCCTTTAATGAAAACCTCTCAGAGGAGACCTCACCCTGGGCAGCGGCCAAGACCTGCCTCATTAAAATGACGTCGGGGGACTTCCCTGGCAGTCTAGTGGTTAAGACTTCACCTTCCGATGCGGGGGGTGCGGGTTTGATCCCTGGTCGGGGAACTAAGATCCCACATGCCTCGCAGCCAAAAAACTAAAACATAAAAAAAACAAGAGCAATATTGTAATAAATTCAATAAAGACTTAATAAAAAAAATGAAAAAAAAACCAAAATGGGGCTTCCCTGGTGGCGCAGTGGTTGAGAGTCTGCCTGCCAGTGCAGGGGACACGGGTTCGTGCCCCGGTCTGGGAAGATCCCACATGCCGCGGAGCGGCTGGGCCCGTGAGCCATGGCCTCTGAGTCTGCGTGTCTGGAGCCTGTGCTCCGCAACAGGAGAGGCCACAACAGTGAGAGGCCCGCCTACTGGAAAACAAAACAAAACAAACAAAGCAAAACAAAAAAAACCAAAATGACATCGGGGCTCAGACCTGGGCAGTGCGCCCAGAGGACCTGGTGGCTGCCTCAGAGTAAAGGGATCCGGGATGTGGGTTGTTAATTTGGCCTCATGCACCGTCCAGCAGGGGGGAGGTGCAAAGGAGAAGCTTCCCCTGCAGTAGGTGCAGACCCAGAGGGCCAGGGCTGTAACGGACAGCCTCCAAAAAAGGGTTGTTTGAACTAGTCTTCTGTGCGTAAACAGTCACTGGTGGACGTCCCCGTCTGTACCTGGCTCGGGTAAACTGAGATGTTTTAGCAGGATAGCATGAGAGTCTGCCATGGACTTGGACAGTCCTGGTCCTGGTTTCAGTTGGTCTCTAGGGCTTTTAGCTGTACAACCTGGATTACTCCCTTCAGCTGTAAGGTGGGAGTGTCAGTAGTACTTATATCACGAGGCTGCTAGTCAGGGTCCCAGCAGGAAGCATTGTACATACAAATCACGTCATTTGCACAAAGGTTAATAGAGGGGGTCTTGACACGTGCCTCCTTAGAGGCAGGGCAGTGTTTGGGGGGCGAGAACATTGAGGCCCATTCCCTCCCCTGGGACCAAAGGGAGTCAGGCAGGAGGTGGTTCACAGGACCTGCAGCCCCCCTCCCCTCCTCCTAGCCTCTCCCCGTCCCACTGGGCTTCGGCTGATTCTCCCCACTGGCTGCACCTAACCAGGCCTGCAGAGGTATAGTCCATACAGGTCAGCCTCCTGGGCATGGAGAAGGGTAGAGAGCAGATCTGGAGGGGCAGGTGGAAGATGACCCGCACTGAAAGGTTTGTTAAGATGAAATGAGAGTCTCTGGGAGGTGCTGGACAGTGGCTGATGCAAAGTCAGGCATTCTGTGGGCAATGGCTGTTCATCATCATCATCATCATCATCATCATCATCATCATCATCACCGTTATCATTGTTGTTACTGTCGCTAGTATTATTACTAGTACTATTACTGAAGTGCCCTCCTGCTGCCACCTAGCTTGGGCACTCATACCCACACACTGGGGACTGGCTCCCTTGGCCCCAGCGTCCCCCAATGCAGGTCTGTTTCAGCGTGTGCAGGATGCTTTGAAGGCCCAGCCATGACAAGCTGTGGGGTGAAACTAAGCCTCTGCCTTTGTCAACCAGCATCACGTCTTTCCTTTCCCCCCTGTAGGGAGCCTGCACTCCTCCCTCGACACTGCTGTGCTGAGTGTGACTGTGACCTGAGGACGCGTCTCTGAAATGAAAGCCATGCCTTGGAATTGGACCTGCCTGCTCTCCCACCTCCTAATGGTGGGGATGGGCTCCTCCACTCTACTCCCCCAGCAGCCACCCCTGCTGCCCCAGAAGCGGTCTTTTGTCACGTTCCGTGGGGAGCCCGCCGAGAGCTTCAACCACCTGGTGGTGGACGAGAGGACAGGGCACATTTATGTGGGGGCCGTCAATCGGATCTACAAGCTCTCCAGCGACTTGAAGGTCCTGGTGACCCACCAGACCGGGCCGGACGAGGACAACCCCAAGTGCTACCCTCCCCGCATTGTCCAGACATGCAACGAGCCCCTGACCACCACCAACAATGTCAACAAGATGCTCCTGATAGACTACAAGGAGAACAGGCTGATTGCTTGCGGGAGCCTGTACCAAGGCATCTGCAAGCTCCTCAGGCTGGAGGACCTCTTCAAGCTGGGGGAGCCTTTTCACAAGAAGGAGCACTACCTGTCGGGGGTCAACGAGAGTGGCTCTGTCTTTGGGGTGATTGTCTCCTACAACAACCTGGATGACAAGCTCTTCATTGCCACCGCCGTGGACGGGAAGCCGGAGTATTTCCCGACCATCTCCAGCCGGAAACTGACCAAGAACTCAGAGGCGGATGGCATGTTCGCATATGTCTTCCACGATGAGTTTGTGGCCTCGATGATCAAGATTCCTTCGGACACTTTCACCGTCATCCCCGACTTTGATATCTACTACGTCTACGGCTTCAGCAGCGGCAACTTTGTCTACTTTTTGACGCTTCAGCCTGAGATGGTGTCTCCCCCTGGCTCCACCACAAAGGAGCAGGTTTATACGTCCAAGCTCGTGAGGCTTTGCAAGGAGGACACGGCTTTCAACTCCTACGTGGAGGTGCCCATTGGCTGTGAGCATGGCGGGGTGGAGTACCGCCTGCTGCAGGCTGCCTACCTGTCCAAAGCTGGGGCCGTGCTCGCCCGGACCCTCGGGGTTCGCCCAGAGGACGACCTCCTCTTCACCGTCTTCTCCAAAGGCCAGAAGCGGAAAATGAAATCCCTGGACGAGTCGGCCCTGTGCATCTTCGTCCTGAAGCAGATCAATGACCGCATTAAGGAACGGCTGCAGTCCTGCTATCGGGGCGAGGGCACTCTGGACCTGGCCTGGCTCAAGGTGAAGGACATTCCCTGCAGCAGCGCGGTGAGTCCGGGGAGGGTCTGTGGGCCGGGGTGGCACGGTGTCGAGACCTAGGCTGTGGCCTCCATGGGGTGTGAATCATCTGTCCCATTTTGTAGATGAGACAAGTATATCCCACCTCTGGGTCTCACCGGACTCGGATTATCACCAGCTCAAGCATGCTGTGACCATGGCACTGAGCTTTTAAGAGTCAGAGCTGGAGCTAAATGTAGATTTCCTATCGGCACTTTTCTCTATTCTGGTTGGCTCACTGGCTGTAAGAGGAGGGGCTGGAATAGGCGGAACTGTGTGCCATAGATGCCACGTGCACCAGCCGTTCTTGAAGGCTGCACTGTCATATGCGGTGACTTGAGAGGTGTACCCACCTTCTTACCGACCATGCTGCAAGTCACTCTCCTGGGAGCTTAGAATAAAAACAATGGGTGGTGGAGGCAGAGCTTAGAGTAAGACCAGTACTGGGAGTAGGGAGGCAGTCACTTTACATTTGGGGTAGATGTAGAACTTCAGGAGGGGTACGTTTTTAGCCCCTCGCGTATCTTTAGGAAATGGGAAAATAAGATCAGAAGAAGTAGGGTGAGAGTCCAGTGAACATAGAGGGGGAAACAGTTTTCTAAGCTTGCTTAGAAAACTGTATTTATTAAGTATCTTCTGTGTGCACAGTCTCATGGAAGAAACATGTCACAGTGTCCAGAGCAGCCATGGAGCAGTGCTGGGTGACAGAGGGCTGAAGGAAGCCAGGGGGCGGGGAGAATGAAGGGTTGGTTTAGGAGGCCTCCCCAGGGCCCGTGAGCCCTGAGGGACAGACCGGACCTCAGAACTGCTGGGCCACCACCAGTGCCACGGGAGACACAGCCTCCTGCCTCTCCCAACATAACTCACTGTGACCCAATGTGAAAAGCACCTGCCTTTCTGTGGCTTGACTTCTGTTCATCTTCATTGTTGTTTTTTCCTCAACCATTCTTAACGTGACTCGGAAGGTTCAGCTGTTGGCACCTTCTGTGCCCTGTGTCACTTTCCTTTCCCTTTTTCTTTTTTGTTGTCCAGTTGAAAAATTATGAACCTAGCTGGAGAAAATCTGTCCTATAGTCTCAATGTAGGGAGAAGAAAGGACAATTCAGCCATCAGGTAGAAGTATGCATGTGCACGGATGTGATTCTTGACTCCTAGTCACACTTTGGTGGAATTCCCTATTAGGAAAACGTACTTGGATTGATTTAAGAAGTGCAAGTTTCTGTTCATGAAATATGGCTGCTTGCCAAGCAGACCTCAGAGGGCACTGGCACCCACACCTCCGGCACACGGTGAGGCCATTCCTCCGGGCAATGGGATTTGGAGGAGGGGAGAGGGAGGAGAAAGAAGGAACTCACTTGTGCCCCAAGGTTTCTCTTTGGTACCCTAGCATTTAGGCTCAGGCTGTTTTCTAGTGATGAGTTTTCCAGTTACCTGGGCTGATACTAAAAGATGCCATTTCTTCTCGGGGGTTCTGGAAAGCCAGGAGACCCCTAGTGTCGCAGAGGAAATGGGAGAGGCACCATGCACCAAAGAAGGAAGCAACACGTTGACCATCATTGCCAGGCCAGAGAATTGAGGGGAGTCTCCTGTATCTGCTGAGCCTTAGCAGGTGACATATCTTTTGGAGACTTTGGTTTGGGCAGTAGGTGATCCACTCAAGAGGGTCTGTGAGACTAGTTTATGAACTTGGGGGTAATGGACCTCTTCCACATGAAGTCAGTGAATGACAGGCCAGGTGCTGTGCTTTGTGTATGTATATTACACCCTCAGACGTAGGTCCCTGGGGAGATGCCCTAAGAGTGTTGGCATGGGGAAGGTGCCCAGAGATCCCTTGGTCTTTACCTTCATTCTGAGGCCCAACAACTTGAATGAGTTGCCCCAGGTCATAGAATTTGTGAGTGAATAGCAGAGACCGCATTTGAAGAGAACCACCACCTCCCTTGCCTCTCACCACCACGCTTGCACACATGCACATACATACACGCTCCTACACACATGCATGTGCACGTACACAAGAAATACCCTCACAAGCACTCACCTGTGTTAGAAAATAGCAAGTTTATGCTGTGTGCTTACTAAACAGCTAGTTCTTTTGAGATCAGAGGGGTTGGCTATTTTTGCTGCAGAAAACTTGCTCCAATCCTGTCTTTTCGGGCAATGCTTTTGGGAGTAAAATCAGCTGCGGAGATCAGCCTGGCTGCCCATGGGCAAGCATTTGCTCCCTGCCACAGTACAAAAAGCAAAGTTCATCACGGGAGTCTGCAGAGCTGCAGGTCCTAACATCCGCTTGGCGGCCTTGGAGAGAACAGAGGGAAGGCAGCTTTGCAAGACAGGCTTATGCCAGGACTGGGAGTAATGGAGCCAGATAACAAGCTTTTGATTTTTCTTTGGGCTTTAATTAGCCCTTTCAAGTTCGAGGCAAGTTCAGGGCTGAGAGCAGAAAGGAGGAGGCCAGAAACTCCGCACAGGGCTGGGGCTGTCTCCCCAGCCAGTCTGAAAGGCCACACCAGCTTTTAATGCACAGTATCAGTTTCCTTTGATTCAGCCCACACTCGAGTTAGTTTGCTCTGGGGCTTGGCTACGGTTCTTTTGGCCTCAGCTCAGACCACGCAGGCCAGTCTCCTGGGTGTCCCCGTTCAGGAGCCCTCACAGGCACAGTGTTTGCAAACCTAGCTTTTCCCGCACTCATTCATTCACAAGACCGTTGGTTTCCTTTCCTTCTTGCCTTCTTACCTTGAGGCAGGGAGGGATGAGATGAATTCTAGAGTTCTTTTCTGCCTCTGAGTCCAGGATTCCCTTGAGGCCTGGGAAGGGGAACCGATTCTCAGATGGCTTCTGTCCTGTGGCGTTTCAGCTGCAGGAAAGTGGGGGAGGGGAGCATGAGGCCCAGGAGGCCGACTTTAGGACTTGTTTTTTGTAGGGTTGGGTGTCCCTTGTGGGTTTTGTCATAGTTACAACTCAAAGAGCTTGAAAAGTGGTTCGTTTTTAAAGCTGAGGTATAATTGACACGTAACGCTATATTAGTTTCGGGTGTACGGCATAATGGTTCAGTATTTGTATACATTGCGAAATGATCACCAGAAGAGTCTGTAGTTAACATCCATCACCATACATAGTAACACATTCTTTTTCTTATGATCGGAACTTTCGAGATCTCCTCCCTTAGCAACTTTCAAATATACAGTACGGTACTGTCAATTATGTCACCGTGCTGTACATTACATCTCCAGGGCTTATTTTGTAACCGGTATTTTGTACCTTTTGCCCAGTGACTCATTTTTATTGTTCTCCTGTTGTCCTAATTCCCTAAGCTAGAATGCTTGTTCTGTGGTGCTCTTCAGGCTTTTCTGGTCTCTTCATGTCCTGGGATTCACATTCCTTCCCCTGAACTCATGCCTCCAGGACTCAGAGCAGGTAGTAGTATGAGCCCTGAGGCTCCACCCCCTCACCAGGTCTCGGCTGTGTTTGGCTGTGCTCGGGGAAAATGGGGTCGGAGGCTGCCATGCATGGGGCGTTGGTGGAGCCACGTGGTGGCCCACAGCCTGGTGACCAGCTGTGGGGAGAAGCTTTGGGCTGGGAACCTGGAGCCTCGATCTGCAGGCCCCCAGGGAGCAACCTGTTGTCTTCATTCCAGGAGAACCAGAGAGGCTGGCTGAGCCCCTATCACAGATAAGGGCCAGCCGGCCAGGAGTGTCTTCCTCTTGGGACTGTGTCCCTGTGAAAGTCAGCGCATGTTGCAAACAAAAATCCTGGAGTGGGCGTTGGGTGTAGAGGCTGGGGAGGCAGCCCAGGTGTTCGCTGGTGCTTGGGGGTGCAGTACGAGGGCCTCTCACTGTCATGGCCTCTCCGGTTGTGGAGCGCAGGCTCAGCGGCCACGGCTCACGGGCCCAGCCGCTCCGCGGCATGTGGGATCTTCCTGGACCAGGGCACGAACCCGTGTCCCCTGCATCGGCAGGCGGACTCTCAACCACTGCACCGCCAGGGAAGCCCTACCATTCTTTCTTGTGTCCTGTTTTTTCCCAGCTTGGATGGAAAGACGTATCCGAGAACAAACGGGCTGGCGTCTAAAAATTACTCTAGGGACCTCAGGAGGGCCTGTGCAGAAGGAGGGTCCTAGAGGGATCAGCCAGGGCTCCTCCAAGTGTGTCTTAGGACTTGGGAGACTGTAGATCAACCTAAGGCCTTTTGCTGGTGAGCATCCGGGGGCGGGGTTAAGGATAATGATGTAATTTCTTTGTTTCTGCTGCTCAACCCTGAGATGGTCTCTATCTTTGGTGCCTGGGAACGCTGCTATCCGGGGTCCCCGAACCCTCTGTCTGCAGAGCAGTGACAATTGAGACAAGGAGCTCATAGCCTGAGGCTCTTGTCATGCGCCGCGGCCCTGAGCAGGCCAAAGCGACAGTTCTCAGCCCCTTTCTGGGATCCCCGACACTCCTGACCTGCAGTGGGACTGCTGGGCTGGAGGCTGTGCTGTTGAGGCCCAAGGCTCTTGTGTTCCATGCGGGCCGAGAGGCCCGGTGTCCTGGAGGCCCCCGGGCATGGCTATCTATATCTCCTCACCCTTTCTTCAGCCTTTGGGGTCACCTCACAGGACACTAGCCCTTCTGCCTCCAAATGAGTTAATGAATGGATGAAACTCTCGTTAGGCCCTTGGCAACGTACCCTCTCCTGGTTGGTGCCAAGAATCATGACATGACATCAGTCTCCAGGAGCCTAGGAGTCCAGGAGAGAGACGCATCCAAGCGGGTCATTACAGCCTGTGGGACGGGAACGAGGGCTGTGGCCATGAGAGTGACTGTCACTCGTGCCACTTAAGTCTTCCCTAAGTTTGGAACCAGTTGAGAAACGGATGTAGGAGTCAGGCAGCATCAGCTTTCGTGCTGAGAAGCCTGGATGAGCAAAAATCAGCTGCTTAATCGCCCCCTCAAGACTCGAACTTGGAACTTAGAAGATGTTGGTCCGTGGGGCGGAGACTGTCACCGGAGTTGACC